AGCTACTTTGGACTCTTGAATAACTTAATGACCTTAATCATCTGTGAAAGTTTGAGAGAAATCGGTGAGATGGCATGTGTCACGTCTGCCTGGTCCTCTCGTGGACAGACTCTTAACTCTCCTCATTAGATTGGTGGGAGTGGATGATCCTTGTTTAAGATAAAAGCTGGGAATGTTAGTCTTAATTAAGACAGAACCAGCCACATAACTGTTACTGTCATAGCAATGGCATGACAGGTGTCATTATGTTTCTTTTGTGATGTACATGTCTGGTGCCAAGTTTAAAGAACATTGCTTTAATATTTCTAGGGTTATTCTCGATTGAGTGTTGTGCTGTTTTAGTGGAACCACCTATGACGTCATCACTTTCCTTACAAAAACGTAAATATCTCTTAAACGAAAAAAGATATTCCAAAATGGAAAACGCCATTCTTCTTTACTTTGAAAAGCCTTTCAAATAAGCAGCAATTATTTTTTACTTCATGGGCACTTTAAGCAAACTGTGACTCTATCTAAACAAAATCATGTTAGAATGTTATATCTTCCATTTATACCTGTATATAAGCTCCTTTTTAAAATATTCCTACCTTAATTCAATAAAACTGTGTAGCTTGAATATTCCTTCATAAACTACATTAAGGTTCGCAAATTCTCAGAAGTTATCCGCATAAAACACAACCTGAAAGTTTATGGAAATCACATGCAAATGTAATTTGACACCTTGTTGTTATTAATATTCACCCGCGAACATTGATTGAGGAAACCAAAAGTGAGAGATTTCTCGTTCATTTTGAAAGGTATATAGCCTGAAAAGTTCGTGAGAATCTCTGCAAACAATAGGAAAGCTGTTTTATTTAAATAAGCAATTTTTTAAGTTTTGTGCGGGATTCTGTGGCCAGAATCATTTTGTGGGTTTTGGAGAATTGTGTGTTATGTATTGCAACCAAGAGCCTGTAAGCATGCTTAATATTTGAAAAATGTTCTACTCTTGCAGATTTAACCACTCTATGTAGGCCGTACGAGAGCCGTGAAATCCCTTGACAGCTATTTCTGTCAACAGTTACGCTCAGTGATGAGCTAGGCCTGGGTACAACAATACAAAAGTGTCAGGTGTTACACACTCGTAGTGAACTTCATTGTGACGGCTTTCTTCGTGTTTGCCTTTTTGTCACGTTTTCGGCATGTTTACTGTGATTATGGAAGAACATATGTAGGTTATACCCAGGCTGTTTTATGAAGCTCGAATAGGAGTAGAAGTTTTCATAGAGCACTATGCCTCTATGCTTTAATCACTGATCACTTTGTACTTCTTCTCTGGCATGTACATATAAAGCAGTGGCATATTGCCATGGTTACCAATGGGGTTTAGTCTGTTGTAGAAGTTTTTATTAAGCCCTATGCCTGAACTCCTTCAGTAACGATCATTTCTACATAATAAACTCTACGGCTCTACAATAACACATACGTAAATAATAAACTCTACAGCTCTACAATTCTAATGTACCATAGCTCTACAGTTCTACCGCTCCACTATCACACATATCTAGATAATGAACTCTATGCCACTACGGTTCTATGGCTCTACGATCACACCTATCTAGATAATAAACTCTACGCCTCTACAAGTCTGTGACTCTACAGCTCTACAATCACACATTTCTAGATAAGGAACTCTACTCCTATACGCTTCTATGCTTCTACAGCTTTACAGCTCTACGGCATTACAGCTCTACATCACTCATGTCTACACTACTAATGAACTGAAGGAAAGTAATATATATATGGTTGTGCGAATGTACTGAAGGAAAGGCAAATGTACGACTGTACTAATGTACTGAAGGAAAGTAAAATATACGGTCGTACTAACGTACTAAAGGAAAAAATATACATAATGCTAACATTTAGAAGGAAATGCAAATATACGGTCACGTAAGGAAAGTAAAATATACGGTTATACTAACATACTGAAGGAAAGTAAAATATATAGTTTTATTATATGGCAAGGTAGTCTTGAGGTAAATCCAAGCATTCTGATTGGTTCTTTCTTGGTCGGAATTTTGCCGTACGGACCATTTCTATGGAAACTGTGATAGGTTGTGTATTTTTTTGTTTTCGAGAGCCAGCAAATTCAAAATTTACAACTAAAACTACGGAAAGAAAATGTGTAAATACTCTCATTCTTCACAAAGAAACTAGCTAAAAGACTGATATTTTACAGAGCTTACAACATGGACGAGGAAGATGAATATTCACCAAGCGAATTTTATTATCTTGAAGATCTGGAAACATCTGATGTAGAAACTGAAACAGGCATCAGCGAAAGTCAGGAGGCCATAGACGATTTTATAAACAAACAGAAAAGTGCAAATACAAATAAGAAGACGGCTACTGATATGAACACTCTTCTCCGCAACATGGAAGCTGATGATATGACAAATGATAGAATTGAAAGCCTACATGTACCTGCATCGGAGCTTGACCACCTTTTGTCCAAATTTTTTATGAACACACGCAGGAAAAATGGAGGAGAGTATGAGCCAGCAACAATTGTCAGTTTTCAGTGCAGTATACAGCGATACTTAACTGAGAAGAAATATCCATTCAACATACTCAAGGACAATGAGTTTGAAAAATCGAGAAGCGTACTAGCTGCGAAGTGCAAGCCACTGGTTCATGAGCACGGCAAAGCAAACAAGCCGCAAGCTGTTAAGGCAATTGACAAAAACGAAGAAGATGCTCTTTTTGAAGCGGGAGAATTCAGCGACTCCATTCCAGTTGCACTTCAAAGGACTGTATGGTGGTTTTCATCCCCACACTTTGATTTCCAAGCGAGAGGAAAGTCTTAAGTTACACTGGGGAGACGTTCAGCTTCAACAGCAGAATGATGGCCAAGAAATCTTGGTTTGATTAGCCGAGCAAGGTACAAAGACCCGACATGGTCAGGAACAAGGGCACCAAAGAGCATTCCAGCCTAAGCTTTATGCCACCAATACAGAGAGATGTCCAGTCAGCTTCCACAACAAATTCCGCAATCATCAGCCAGTGGAGATGAATGCACCAGAATCACCGTTTTACTTGGCGGTTTAGCATAACTGACGCTTAAATGGCAAAGTTTGGTATATGAAGGCACCCCCTGGTAAAAATGAAATCGGAAAGTTTCTATCTACTGCAGCAAAGAATGCTGGCCTTCAGCAAGAAGACATAGACATAGACATAGACATACTTTATTTAACGTGGACAAGTACACACTTAGCTGTTCGCTAAAAGAAGGAAAAAGAGTAACAAATCATTCCATCAGGAAAACCTGTATTTCAAGGCTCCTCGATGCAGATGTTCCAGGGAACTTTGTAGCCCAACTGAGTGGCCACAAAAGCATGGAGAGTTTGCAATCTTTCAAGTCAGCTAGTTCGAAACACCAAAGGAGGACGTCCTTGACCCTCAGCAGAGTTAACCGTTCTAGATCCGGAAATGAACCTATCTCAAGTGTGCATAAACAAGATCTTCAAGTAGCCACTCGCTCGACTACAGAAATCGCCACAAGCACGACTGAAAATTCATTGATTGATTAGTAAAATGATCCTTTACTGTCTTCTACCACTCCAGTTTTTGCAGGTGCAAACATAGGATCCATCAATGGATGTACCTTCCAAACATTTCATGGTATTGTGAAAATTGTCCAAAATGAAAAGAAGCGTCGAATTGTAATTGAGAGTGATGAGGACGATTGACTTTAAGGCTGCTTCTTCAACAGCTAGGTATAAGTTTGAATGATTTTCACAGCAACCAACTTAGACTTTTTTTGATCCGTATCTTGTGATGCGCAAGTTAAAATATTCCAGGATTGACAGAAACTCTTTTCCAAATTTCAACGACCTCCAGCTGTTGAGACTTTTGTCAAATTCTGTTACAAATAGTTCTTGAAGTCGTGTTTATATTCAACATGATTTACGTTCAATAAATTTGTTTTAAAACTTGTGGTAGCTTGTTCTTTCTGAGTTGCTCGTGTCAACAAAAATCTGTTACAGCGGGAGCCCTTTGAATTCAAGTGACCAAATGTATGTTTTATCACAAAACAAACAAGTGTGGCCTGAGTGCCATATAATAAACTACTTACTAACCTATCTAGCTCGAGCCGTACTGGGGTATATTGGCCCTCGGTCGTTTTTGTACTGCCATGACCTCAGGCCAATATTCCCCAGTACGGCCCTCACGCTCGCTTAGTAAGAGGTTCGTACTAATGTACTGTAGGAAAGTAAAATATGTGGTCTTACAAATGTACTGAAGGAAAGTAAAATATACGGTCATACTAACGAACTGGAGGAGAGTAAAATATAGAGTCGCACTAATGTACTGAAGGAAGGTAAAATATACAGTCATACTAACTTACTGAAGGAAAGGCAAATAATTTTTTCTACAGTTGCACTAAAGTTTTGAAGGAAAGTAAAATATATAGTCGTACTACTGGTAATGTACTGAAGGAAATTAAGTAAACTATACAGTCGTACTAACGTACCGAAGGAAAGTAAGTAAAATATACGGTCGTACTAACGTACTGAAGGAAAATAAGTAAAATAGTCATACTAATGTATTGAAGGAAAGTTAGTCAAATACATGGCCACAATAAAGTAATCATTTATGGGTGCCTGACCACAGCCTCTGTTTCAAATTTAGGCTATAAAGGACTAGTCAACTTACAGTAAAGCCATAAGATTTCACTTCACCATGCAATATCAATAATTTCGATGGCATTGAATATGGTACACGCTGACTAGGGTTCTATGATAGCCTTAATTTGGTCAGGCACCCATAAATGCTGGATTTTGTTGTTACAGCTGTATATTTCACTAACTTTCCTTCAATACGTTAGTATGACCCCCTATTTTACTAAGTTTCTTTCAGTATGTCAGTACAAACGCATATTTCCTTCCGTATGTTAGTACAACCACATATTTTAGTTACTTTATTCCTTCAGTATGTTAATAGGACCATACATTTTACTTTCCTTCAGTACGTTAGTAGGACTGTATATTTCACTTTCCTTGAGTATGTTAGTAGGACTGTATATTTTACTTTCATTCAGTACATTAGTACGACGGTACATTTGCTCTTCCTTCAGAACATTAGTATGATCGTATATTTTACTTTCCCTCAGTACGTTAGTGCGACCATATAATTTACTTTCTTTCAGTATGTTAGTATGAGCGTATAATTATTTTACTTTCCTTCAGTATGTTAGTACAACTTTATATTTTACTTTCCTTCAGAACATTTGTATGACCGTATATTTTACTTTTCTTCAGGACATTAGTACAACTGTACATTTTACTTTCCTTCAGTATGTTAGTACAGCGGTATATTTCACTTTCCTTCAGAACGTCAGTATGACTATATATTTTACTTTCCTTCAGGATGTTAGTACAATTGTATATTAATTTTTTTTGTTTTTTCTTCAGTACATGAGTATGACCATGTAAATATTTTACTTTCTTGCAGTACATTAGTAGTGAAGAAAAGTGTGATGGTAGAGCCGTAAAGCCGTACAGCCATAGAGCTATAGAGGTAATTACCTTGAGATATGTGACTGTAGAGCTGTAGAACCATAAAGCTGTAGAGCCGTTACCTGTTACCTATCCTCCTCGTGCCTTGGGGCACATAGGGCCTTTACAGAGGTCTTCCACTGTTCTCTGTCTGCTGCAATCATCCTTGTTTCCTTCCATGATATCCACCCTGCCTCTTTACATTCCTTTTCAACTGTTTGTCACCATGTGGTCTTGGGCCTTCCTCATCTCCTTCCCCCCTCTGGGGCCCGGCCTGTTGCAATGTTACAATCATTATTGCAATCCTGCCTCAGGATGTGACCAATCGCATTCCATCTACGATACTTCACTTCCTCATTCAGCGGTTTCATAGTCGCTCTTTCCAACAGCTCCTTAGTACTGACATGATCTTGCCATTCAATTCATAGGATCTTTTGTAGGCACTTACTCTGGAATACATCTATAGCTTTGTCATCTCCTTTGTTCGTTTTCCATGTCTCGCATCCATATAACAACACCGGCACCACCAGTGTCTTATACATACAGTCTTAATTTTGTTTTCCTTGAGATGCTATTGGAATCCCACATGTTCTTCAATCTGATGAATGCACCTCTCACTTTGGATTGTTGGTTCTTCAGGTCTTTCATACCACCTTCTTCCTTGCATGAAAGTGGTCAGTAAGAAAAATCAAGTGCCATATTTTGGGTACTGTTTCCAGACATTTTGGGCTTGGCCCCTCATCAGTGGAAAACCATGTTCGTTGAAATCAGTGCAATGGATATGCCATGGATCTGAAATTAAAATTAAAAAAGTACAGTGTGCGTGCGGGGCCTTAAGGAAACGGAAGCCGGAATTTAGGCCGCGCAGATGACTGGTGTCGAATATGAAAATCAGGTGCATCTCCAGCTGCTTCTGTTGGGAGGTCACGCTGCATAGCAAATTCCACGAACAAGGCCATCATCAATAGAATGTCCAGCTGCGATGGTGAAAACCAGGCAGGTTACACACTTTCGCTTCAAAGTATGTGAACTCATCAACATCCTCAATATCTATTTCATTGAGTACAATCTTGTCTTGGTTTCTTGCATTAATCCTCACCACTTTCTACTTTTCTGTACTGACCTTAAACCCCAGCTTATCTGGCTTCTTCTTCCAGCTTTGTTGTTTTATCCTGAATCTGCTGTTTGGTAGAGGAAATTAGAGCTATATCATCTGCAAAGTTCAAATCATCAAGTTTGGACGTAAACCTCCATCTAATGCCGTTCTCACCATTTCCAACTGTTCTTCTCGTTACCCAGTCCATTATGATCAAGAACAAGAATTCAGACATATTGCATCCTTGCTTGACACCAATTTTTATGTCATACCAATCGCCTATCACCCCCACATCCACCACTGCACACTTGAAACCATTATAATACACTTTGACCATTATTTTTCACTATTTTCTCTGGAATTCCATACCTCCCCATAATCTCCCATAAACTTTCTCTGTGGATGGAATCAAAGCTTTTTCGAAATCTATGAAGTTCAAATACAGGGTACACATAGCTTGCTTTTCGTTTGCCTGTTCAATGATATTTCGTAGAATAATCAAAGTACTCTGTGAGCAAACTCGTGAATTGAACAAATAAATTAAAATATTTTTTGATTATGTTAAATATTATCTGGTTTAGGGAATATTGTGGTTGATTTTCATATTTAGAGTATGAGCAGTAGTTCAGTGTTCGCTAAGAAGGTACCAATTGAAAGAAACAAAGTAACATTTGGATAAGAAGGTATTACAATTAAAACGATCATGCTATTGCATTTGACAAGGGTGGACGATGTCATTTGTTTTAAACATTTATCATTTTTGTTTCTGGTTCACCAAAAAATAGTTGGCAGTAAATCTGGGTGAAAAGCGAACATTGGAAATATTGAAAAATCAAGGCAATACTGTCTTAATGAAAACATTAATCATTCTCTCTTTATCAAATGAGATAAACAGAAACAAGTTTTGAGTTTTGTAGCAAAATGGCATTTTCAGGTTCTGCTTATAAGGACATACAAGGACACATTCATGACATTTTGGATGGAAGTTTCTGATGTTAAGATTCTGGGAAATGCAAAGTCTAGGTGATATTTTCATTTCAAGTTGCAACAAGGCAATGAGGAAATGAGGTTTATTTTCCTTTGTCGAGGGAAATTAGAGAAAATTGAGGAACAGCTTATGTGACCAATGTAGGTATGCCGATGGTGAAGAATATAGAATGAACAAGTTGTCAAGAGTGTCCACAGCGAGGAATATCTAGTTCCACTACAGCCTTCAGTTTCATTGGCTTTAAAAACAATAAAAATGATTGGAAGAAAAACTAGCCTGCGAGACCATCCAGTTTTTTTGGGCTCTTTTTTTTTTGCGCGTGAAACAAGAGCAGAAAAAAACAGGTGCCCTCGCACGCTAAAGAAAAACACAAGCGACTAGATTGAGCCACGTGTTTTTGAGCTGAGCACAATTTAATCGGAAGTCCGACATTTTCGGACTTCAAATTGCATCTCTCCAGGGTCGCTCGTTTCTTGACCACTGGTCAGGGGGAATGAAGACTCTTGGTACAAGGCTGCTAGCATTCCAGTGGAAACCACCAACCAGTCTGTCCGCAAGAACAATTTGTGATATCACCGGAGATTTCAATCTTATCTGATACTCAGTGCATGTTTACCAACCAGTGCGTAATTTTAGCAATTTTGACCTTCAGATTGATTTGTAATACTTGATAAACGACTATACGAAGGCCTCATCCACATTACGCCAGCGTAATTTTAGCAATTTTGACCTTCAGATTGATTTGTAATACTTGATAAACAACTATACTAAGGCCTCATCCACACTATGCTAGAGAAATTTGAAAACGCAGCTTTATTTCTATGGTTAGGTCTTCCATCCACAATAATTTGCCGCGAAAACGGGCACTCTTCAAATGAAAACACTGTTCAAACCCGAGGAATTTGAAAACACCAACTTTGCGTTTTAATGTGGATGGAAAACATTTTCAAAATGGAGCTTTTCCAAAACGATGAAGTCACGATTTCCTCAAACACAACACCAAAATGGCCGGTGATTGTTGCATTTTCAAATTTCTCCAACCAAGTTTGGATGGAAAACATTTGATGTGTTTCAGAGTGATTAACACCCTTTTCAAATTTCTCTGGCGTAGCGTGGATGGAGCATGAGCGTTTGCAGTTCCAGGGTAGCCATTCAAAGTTAATGCTTACATAGGCAAAAACATCCTGCATGAACGCCTCCAGATAGACTTGCCACAAGTAGACTTCTACTTCTATAAAATGAAGTGGACTTGTTCCGCTTGCTCAGATTCGAATTTAAAATTTGTATAAGTTTTGGCGCAAAAAACGTGGGTGTGACGTAATGATTCACAACCTACCCCTAATTCTCTAGAATTTTTTAGAAATATTTCAGAGCGAGTGTAAGCAGAAAAATAAACCATATGCCCAGTAACCACAGCCATGTAAATGTATAAGATCAGACTTCAAGACATCGTTTATTTAAAATTGAACAAATGATGGGCCAAAACATTAAAAAATATCAAAAAAAAGAACTCAA